CCTTTTCTGATGAAGGGTCTAGGCCCGAAACGTCAGCCTTTCTGCTCCTATGATGCTGCTTGGCCTGCTGTGTTCATCCAGCTCTGCACCCTGTTGTCTCAGATTTTCCAGCATCTGCAGTTCCTACTATCTAAGAAACAATGTTGAGCAGCCATGAGTCAGGAAATTAAGAAAAATTTCACTACAAGTAGTCGAGGAAAACATTCAAGACTTGCTAGGTAAACAATTAAAAGTATTTACCTGAGAGAAGAGCCTGAATGAAAAGGGCAAGGCTGAGGCTAGTAAACAAGAAGCAGCAAGGCCCATCAAAACAGTGAATAACCTTAAAATGGGTAAACAGGGAACTAAGTGTACAAATGATGAAAACAGGAAAGGGCAAAAGTAAAGTGAAATTATATAAATAAAATAAACTGAAAAAAAATTTGTAAAAATAAATATATATCCCATAGAACTGCTAAAAAGGAGGCAGACACAGCTGGACTTCAGAAATTGTAAACTGCTTGACTGAACCACCTATTGTCCATAGTCTACAACTGCAGTGGTGCGGAAGCTGTTGTACAGAAGTACACCCATCTGCAAGATTTTTAGTGAGCTTTGGGTAGCTTTCAATTAAATCCTTTTATACTTCAACCTTTGTCCCGCCAGCAGTATTCTGTTAAGCTCCTGAAGTAAGGCATGCCTTCCAAAGTCTGGATGTTTAACAACTCATGCAACTCTACAAATGAGTTACGCTCCATAGGGAAACAATAATTATTGACTGGTGTCTACATGTTTAACGGATTGTGTGAATTACATTCTTCTTTGAAAACTGTTTTCTGCAAATGCCACGTTATGCATTCATTAATAAATTTGTTTACTGATCGGGTTTCTTTTCGTGAAAAATAGAACTTGCAAACGATCAATGCTCAGATATTATAAATGCTGTAATGAAATATTTAAAATTCTGAGAAAATAACTCAAGGTCCATTAATTTTGGAGTAAACAACTGGAGGGTAGGTCAGCGCAATTTATACCAGTGACCAGTATTGCCACTGTTACCATGGAGACACAACAGCTTCAGCGTATTAGGGGCGTGGTTGGGAGAGGGGCAAAAAGTGCACCACAGTGTCTGCATGAAAGCAAAGAGCATTAATTTCCTGAGAGAGGCAGAGAATAGCAAGTAACATTTCAATAACATCCCTTGCATTCACAGAGATCTATAAATGTTTTAGGAGGTCAAAAAATAATGGATACAAAGCTGGATTCGTGAAATGTCATGGAAGGAGGAGAAATGCTGAAAGCACAGATAAAAGGGAATGCTGGGAGAACAGCGTGCAGGAACCAGCGGGTAACTGAAAGTACACACAATCTGTTAGAAGAGCAGAGGAAGCACAAGTAGTGATCCAGTATTCTGAAGAGGTCTGGACATTATGCAGAGAGATTCAGTTGGAGGAGATCAACAGGTGGGGATACAGCAAAAGCCCACAAAGGTTAAGGGCAAGATTCATTAATTAAATTTAGTGGGGCTCAAGAAAGCATACAAGCATAGAAAGCACAGAAACATCACAGAGAAAACTACTGCCAACCCATTTTTGGTACCAGTGAAGTACCTTTTGAGACAGCTGAATTTAGTCACCTTCATATTACAAATTTTATCCCAAGAACACAACATTAAGCCTGATGAATTCAATTCATGTTCTGCAGATCAACTTTTGGAGCAGGTAATGCGTTATAAGTCTGCTGTGAGTCTCAGTTTCACACTAAGTCTGTCTGTGAATCCCACTGAATGAAACTGCCGTATAAATTACATAGAATATAGAGCAGAGAAAAAGTCATTTAGCCTAACGTGTCCCTGTGTCATCCATATTTCCACACTGGATTAACAGTAAAACCATACGTTCCCTTCTTCCGCATATGTTCATATATCTCCCCCTTTAACTGCCTTACCGCTATTTGCGTCAATAACACCTTGCGGTGGCATTGTCCACATTCATATTATTCTCTGGATAAAGAAGGTTCTTCTGAATTCTCCATCTGATTTCCCGCCGAGAATCTTATACTGTTGGACTCTAGCTTTTGTCTTCTCCAAAAGGGAACACACTACCAATATGCTTTCATCCAGGTCACACAATGAAGAAACACATCTTTACAGATATAGGCTTCTTGAAGAGTCTGTAACACTTATTTTAAATCCAAAATGCTTTTGATTTAATGGACATTCTATTGCAATTGTGATGCTTAATATTACAAACTGGTTACATTGAAATAAGTATATAAAAAGCAACATTCCTTATTAATTAGTGACAATTGGAACTTAATTGCTGAATTAGGAATGGAGACACTGCTGTCAGCCCTAGCATGCTTAACATTTTGCAATGTTAACTAAACAATGACAGAAGCATTGTAAATGGCTTCACAACATATCCCTCCCACAAACCCCCAGGAAGAGGGTGAGGCAAAACTGTCAAGGCTTATGCTTCACATTGTTAGGATGAATTTTGTTAGAGTCACATAACACAACAGCTAACAGGAATGGTAGCTACATGCAGTCTCTAATACAACTTTAGCTAGCAGTGGCGTAAAGTCACAAATATAGCCATGACCAACTAAACCAGAAACTATTCTGTCCATTGTTTCTTACCAGACTCTGCCTGCTGACGATGAGCAACCCTTTGGCTCCATTGATCTGAGCAAGTCTTACTTTCTCATAGAATGTACAGTTCCCACGCATCACCATGGCAATTCTATTGCTAAACCCTTGTAAGGGCACATCTGAAGGTGTGCACAGGTCAGAGGATGTCAGGTCCTGGAGCTGCAAGAGAGACTAAGAGAGAAAGAATATAATTTTAGGTGTAGTTTAAACCAACTAGGTGAGATATTTTCATTATTACTTTAGTAAATCAAGAGCTTCTGCTGAAAAAAATGCATCTAAATAAACATTTTAGGTACAACTGGAACTTTTCAGTATTTGAAGTGAATATTTAAATTAAATATTACCTATTCAAATCACTGTACTAGCATACACAATACAATAAAACTGAAGGATATAGACTAATTTCTAATGCTAATTGCAACTGTACCATAACATGTTACACGCTGCATTAGCAAAAATTTAAAAAAAGACAATTTCTGGCAATTGTTTCCTTCACTTTTTAAGGCAATGAATCTTTGCCAGGGACATATTCCCATGGAAACAAGATACTATTGGTACTTTGCTCAAATAGTTGTTCTTCACATGTGAGCCTACAAAATTTTTTGACTGATTTATTGTTGTCACATGTACCATATACAGTGAAAAGTGGTGTTTTGCATGCTATACAGACAGATAATACTAAACAAAATGCATCAGGATAGCAGAGCAGAGTGTACAATACTGTGATACAGTCGCAAAGAAGGTGCAAAGAGAGCGAGAGATCAGAATTAACATTTGAGAGGTCTGTTCAAAGTCTGATAACCGCGGGGAAAAAGTTGATCTTGAATCTACTTGTACATGCATTCAAACTTCTACTCTTCTGGCCAACAGAAGAGGATGGAAGAGAGTATAACTGAGGTGGAGGGGGTCTTTGATTATGTTGGTTGCTTTCCTGAGGCAGCAGAAAGTATAGATGGAGTCAATGGATGGAAGGCTGGTTTGCATGATGGACTGGGCTATTCTCACGACTCTCTGTAGTTTCTTGTGGTCTTGGGAAGAGCATTGGCCATACCAAGCTGTGATGTATCCATATAGGATGCTTTCTATGCTTCCCATAGAGTCCTTGTGGACATGCTGAATTTCCTTAGCCTCCTGAGGTGGTAGAGACATTGTTATACTTTTGTGACTGTCGGGTCAATGTGTGTGGATTGGGAAAAATTGTCAGTGATCATCACACCCAGGAACTTGATGCTCTTGACCATTTCCACCTCAGCACCTTTGACGCAGACAGGGGCGTGATCTCCACTCCACTTCCTGAAGTCAATGACCAGCTCCTTCATTTTGCTGACAGTGATGGCAAGATTGTCGTCTTTACACCATGCCACTAAGCAATCAATCTCCTTCCTGTATTCTGTCTCGTTGTTTGAGATCGGACCTACAGTGGTCGTATCGTCATCAAACTTTTAAATGTAGTTCGAATGGAATTTAGCCACACGGTTGTGAGTGTATAAGGAAGTAATAAGTTTCAGCGAACAATTTAGTTTTGGATATCACTGTAACCAAGTTTGATCCTGTCTCTACACAAGATCCAACATACTGCACTTCTGCTCAGAGGTTCACTTAATAACGATAGAGGATAACACTGGCTCATTTTCACCAAATGCTATGGTGAATTTAACACCTCAACTGCTGCTCCCACGGAGATCAACTGACTCCACAATTTGAAATCTGATACTTTTCTGTCTGATTTATCAGACTTTGTGTCTGCGATCTCTTATTGCAATGAATCTAAACGTCAGGAAGACTGAAGCCACAGTCTTTGATCCACACTACAAACACCATTCCAAATCATTATTTCATTCCCTTTTCCTTGTTCCGCCAAAGTCAAGCCAGGTTTGGGTATTGTATTAGACCCCGGAATGAACTTCCAACCACATATTCACTCTATCGCCAAGACTATCTATTGCCACCTCAGCTACTTCACCTGAATTTAACGCAGATTTAGTCATCTCCTGCTGGAGTCCTCATCTATGTCTTTGTTACTGCTAGACTTGAAACTTGACGTCCCATCTTCCACTGGTCATAAATTTATGCTCATCCAGAACTCTGTCACTGTATCTAAACTTACACCAAGTTCCATTCACCTGTTGCCACGCTGCTTGTTTCCCAGTGTGTCAACAGTAGGAAAAATTCCTATCCTTATTTTCAAATTCCTCTATGGTCATGCCTCTACCTGTCCCTGTAATCTCAGTGAGTCCCCACAAGGAATAAAGTGAATGAACTGTAGGTATATGTCACATCTGGTGGTATGGCATGGTTGCCATTACTGAATCATGGCTGCAAGATAGTCTGGACTAGGAATTATAACCTGGGTATGTAACGTCTTCGGAAGTGATTGGCAAAATACTAGAGGACGAGAAGTGCCTTAAGATTATATATAAAATAGTTCAAATACTCCAAAAGGATATAATGAGAGATAAGCAAGCAGTGGAGACTTTATGACCAGAACTGACAAATAGAAAAGAGTTCATGACTGAAGTGTAAGTTGTGTCTAGGCCCTCTGGTAGCAGCTGCGAAACAGTAGGTTGTACAAGGGCTCAGATAGATAAAAATGGAGTGAAGGCATAGTAGCTTTCATTTTCACCTAGACTGGAATAAGTAGAGTAGCATGTCAGAATGGTAGTGAATCTCACAACTGTATCTACAGTAGCTTTCTGCAGTAATACATCTTTGAGAAAACACTGCGCAATATTAGATTGAGTAAAACCAGACTTTAGTTAATAACCTAATAGCATATAAACATTTATCTAATGGCAATCAGAACGTGATTGAGTTCAACACAGTGTTCAAAGTGGAGAAATGCGAAATTGCTATTCAGATTCTAGATTTACACGACGCAGCCTTCAAAGGGATGAATAATAAATCAACCATAATAAACAAAACAAATCAAATCTATTTTTAGTCAAAGGACAAAATGTTTTAAGAGGTGGCAAGTCAGAAAGCCAAATAGCTGAATTTTCTGATCAAAGATAGTCAGCATTGTATTTGGAAGCTTAATTGTTGAGTCCTTCCTCTATTTAATATTATACTTTGAAAATGTGAGCTGAGAGCTGAAGGTGATCTTTGGGCTGTGAGCAGCAGCTTTCTTTGTAAAGCAAAAGAATAACAGACTGATGCTTGTATACAAGGCCAGGCCGAAAAGTTAATTGCAGGTTGATTCTTGTTAAAAGTGCTCTACAGATGCTTGCACTCCAGAGAGGCATTGTGCTCAAACGAATGCCACATGTTTGCCTGCTAACAGAAGCCTCACAGACAGTCAGTCTGACAAAGAGAAACCAAAGTTCAAACTGGTTTTGAACTGTATTTAAGTCAGAAGGATTTTGGCTACCACAGCTACAGGATGATTAGATTGCTGCTTGAATGTTGTCTCATACTGAAAGTTCAGGCAATAGAATTTCAGTTATCAGAACTAAAATAAGTATTCCTCAAAGTTTACTGAAGGCTATGTGCATACATCAGCGTCTTCAGAAATCAAGCAAGATACAATCTCATGAGCCTGTAATGTTCCAATTGTGGAGGCTGCTTAAATGAACTGGCCAGTTACAACTCTTATTTTTTTTCTTTTTTTGATTTATCTCTTAACTGTGTCTTTTTGTCTTTGAGTGAGGGGCCAGAAGCAAAGAAAATTAGGCTTTAAACATAGATATTAATTGGATTACATTGTGGCTTAAATTTGCTCTGATAAAGCTACTGTATTATTTAAAAATTGTGACATGTTTTGTTTAAGCTTTAAACCTGGTGTCTTGGTATTGTGATTATTCAAAACATCTGGTTAGAAACCATTGGGGTCTACTGAGGGTCATTGCCTATTTTAATCTTACTGTGTTGTGAATACAGGGGTAGGGATGATTTGGCTGGGTGTCTCCGTGTCATAACATAATATTACATAGAAATCAACAGATGAAATGAATGGGTTAAACTGTGTCAAACGCATTTCAACTTGGCAAGCAAATATGAAACCATCCACCATGGACCAAAACAAAAAGTAGAGATCAAGGTACCATACTTACTGAAATACTGAAAAGCTAGAGATAGTACAGGTCAAAAGAGCTTTGGGAAATTCAGGTCCATAAATTATTGAAGTTTCATGAACAGGTACAGAACATAATCATAAAGGTGAATGGAATGCTGGCCTTTGTATGCAGAGGATTAAAATGCAAAGTGGCAGATGGAACACTTTTGCAATGAAAAGGACACATCCTTCTCCTATCTAGCTTCATACTGAGAACTACTGGGCACAAGTAGCTCGGATGCTGATCTTCCCCACAGAAACATGCTAAATGGAAGATCAGGCTAAATAGATATGTCACCAGCCAGGTGACAGAGGAGACACACCGAAAGAACAAGCCTGCTTCCTAGTGGTATCCAACCAGCATGTTTGAAACGTTACAATGTGAGAAGAGAGAACAACAAGTTAACCATATTTATATTTAATTTTGATTTTTTTTAAAACCAAAGAACTCCAAATATTTTAAATTTCCACTAACATTCCCAAAACATGATTTTGTTCCTTACAATTCACCTATGCCCAATTCGATGTTGCAAACTTATCTTCAACTGCACTTTCTCTAGGTCAAGAAATTAAGTAGTGCAATTAGAGGCTTTACCTGCAGCTTTGGGGGTTGAGAAGTTACATTCCCTGTCCAGGATCCCTCCTTGGGAGGATTTCAAAAGCATATGAAACCTACCTGGAATGAGAAGCCAGGCTGAGTTCCAGATATGCACGATGACTATTCATTCTCTAAATGAGCATTCCCGCAATGCATTTGCCAAAACATCCTGTGATATACACTCACCGCCTTACTGAGATCATGAGGTAAATAGGCCCAGTAGGGATTGAACTGGATGCAGTAATCTTTTGTATTTCCATGTTCCTTATCAGATAGGACGTGGACCATTCCATACTCAGTCACCACCTGCATATTTCAGGGTAAAGTGCATCAGCAAAGCAACTCCAGAATGTATAAACAATGCCAGCCCACGTATGTCCCAAACCCACAAATAAATCAGCTCCTGAATTAATGCACTACATTTTGCACAAGATGACTAACACTGCACAATTACGCTCTTCATTTCCATTTTGATCATTGTTAATTATTTAATTTACTGTCAACAATACTGAGATAAAAGTTTCCTGGATCCAAGGAAAGGGAATATTCTACCACAAATGACACGTTTGAACCTTGCATTGGAATTAACAGCTGGTTCAAGGGACTGTTTTTTGAAGGCCAGTGATTGCAATAACACATACTCTGCACCACTCAGTGATGCAGGGAGAGGGATAAGGGGGCAGGACATGGGGAAAAGGGCCCCAAGGGGTGGGACATGGGGGTTGTTGGGGGGGGCAGAGAAAGAGTTTAAGGGGATTAGGATTGCAGGGAGAATTTGGACAGTAGTTGGAGCCAATAGAGGATGGGGTATAGTTGAAGGGGAATGGGGCAATTGCAGAGAGGTGTGGGGGTGTTTGCGGGAAGATTGGGGAGATTGCGGGGGTTTTGGGGAGATTGGGCAGGGAGAACAATTGTGGGGGAGGGGATGGGGGATAGCTGGGGGATGCAGGGATTGCAGAGGGGAATGGGGGAA